AAGAAATGTTAATTAATTGAAAATTATATAACATTTTTAAAAGTAATTTTTTCTTTGTTTAGTGCATTTGGCATTAGGGTTTTCATTAATAACTTTATGCAGCAACAACAAATATCAAATAGTTGGGGACATCACATACACACACTCACACACAACAAGCAACAGTTCTTGTCTATGTGTGCGGTTCTCTACGGATGCCTGTATGCCTGTGTATGAATATAGCATGTACATATGTACATTCGTATTAATGTATACATTGGGCAATCGAACACAGTTGTTTGATTGTAAAAAAATAATGCTCTAAAAACAACAACAACTGCAAGTCATTGGCTCGCTCTTCTTCTTTCGTTTTGACCATTTAATGTTAATTGCAAAGGCAAAACGCGAAAAGTTTACAGTTACCGTCGCTAGGCGCTAGACTGCGTAAGCGATAGTAAAGCAGAAACCGAATAACGGAGCTACGCATATTCTGCTTCGCATTGCGGGCAGATGTATGTATGTATATGATTTGTTCTTATTGATCTCAATAAATAAATAGATTTTATTATTTAAATATTCTGCTTATTGCATTCAAACTTCGATATTTTGATGGTATCGGTGCCAGTGGTTTTTGATCGTGGCTCATCGCTGCACGGCATTGACACGAGTGCCGTGTTTCATATTCCGAGTTTGTGCGTGAATTTAAAATTAGGATATACCCTTATAATTATTCCCCTTTTTTGCACATAGTCTATCTTAAAACGTTGCGTTATCTCTATATATAAAACAGTTTGTCCTGACTAATTGGTGATCAACGCACAGCCGAAACGGTAAAAGATGAAATTTGGACTCACGTATCCTTTCATAGTATCCATCATAGTGTAGGAGCACACTAAGAAAGGCTTTTGGAAAATTCTAGCTCCAAAGGGGGGAAAACGAGCTTTAAAAAATATTAGTTATAGTGGTCATGTTCGTTTAACGAAATAGTTTGGCAAGAACAAAAATGTAACTACTGAACAATTTTTTCAAGAACAGAAAATGTTCATTTAAATACCTTAAATGCCTTCCTACTGGTAACTTATAAGGTGAAAACATATGGGTAGGTTATGCACACACAAAATAAATACAATTTGAAACATTATATTGAGCCGGGCTAAGACGGACAATACCTGCTAGTTGCACATATACAAAGCAATTGCGCCTATGTGAGTGTATTTATGTTTATGCTCGTATATTCGTGTCTGTGTAAGCATGTTCGCAGTCAACCAAAGCACCAGCATCAACAACAGCCGCGGGCAGCGCTGCAGCAGCAAATATATTTATGGCTATAACTTCTTGTTAAATCGGTCTATCATAGTGAAACTTGGCATACGGACACATAATAACTAACTGGGGGTATTTGAATTTGAGTTCGAAATTCCAAGAATTACGGGAGTTAGAAAAAATCGCAATTTTCATGGGAGAGGGGGGAGGGAGGGAAATTCCAAAATATACATTTTCTGCGTATTCACACAAGGCATCTTGGACTAAAATTTGGTGTGCCTAGGTCTTATAGTCTCCGAGATATAGGCGATTATACGAATGGAAAATCGGGAAAACCCCCATAGGGGGGAAGTGGGTGGGGGGGGGGGGGAAATAAAAAAAATAAAACAAACTCGTATAGAATACACACATAACGCATCTTTGTGCAAAATTTGGTGTCTCTATCTCTTATAGTCTCTGAGATCCAGGTGTTCATACGGACGGACAGACAGATAGGGCTAGATCGACTCGTCTTGTCACGCTGATCAAGAATATACAGTGAAACCAACAATTATTCGTACACTCTTTACTTTTGACTTTAAAGGCCTATATCTTCGCTGTTATTTATAATACACAACAATTTTTAATTTCAAATGAACACTTAATATTTATATTTTATATTTTAAAAACAATAACAAACAATTTCATAATTGGTAATGGAAAAAACTTAATCTAATCAAAATAAGGCAGGTTTTTACGTCCATAAATTATTCGTACACTTTGTGCCTTATCATGTTTTCTCATCGCATGTAACTGTAATTGGCAATTCTTTTTAAGGAATTTCGTTACCGTCGCCAGCATTCAGCATGTACATTAGTTTTCATTCATTCTTCTTTGATTTTTAATTAGTGTTGAGACGAATTTTGATTGATATAGACGCAATGGGGCGAGGAAAGGATATTTCACTTGATATGCGCAAACATATTCTTAAATTGTATACAGAAAATTATTCTCTTCGCGCCATTGGCAAATTAATCGACAGATCACACTCTTCTGTACAAAGTATAATACAGAAGTACGGAAACACAGGGAGTTTGGGTGCAAATCATAAACAAGCTGGGAGACCAAAAATTCTAACACAGCGTGATGAGCGAAATATAGTAGCTGCTGTTGTCCAAAACCCAAAAATAACCACTTCAGAACTATCCAAAAATATTGAACAGTGTAGCAACAAACAAGTGTGCCACCAAACCATACGCAATTGCCTATACAGTGCTGGTTATCATGGAAGGATTGCACGGCGAAAGCCATTCATTTCGGCGGTTAATAAAAAAAAGAGGCTGGAATTCGCCAAACTGTATTTAAATGAACCAGATTCGTTTTGGGAAAACGTTATCTTTAGTGATGAGTCCAAATACAACATTTTTGGGCACGACGGCCCTCCCAAAAGCTGGCGAAAAGCGAATGAAGCCATGAAAGAGAAAAACATTATTCCCACCGTCAAGCATGGTGGAGGAAATGTAATGGTTTGGGGATGTATAGCTGCATCTGGACCTGGAAACATGGTGTTCATAGATGAAAAAATGGACAAGCACATTTATAAAAGTATTTTGGAAAGAAATTTACATCCAAGTGCCACAAAGCTCGGGCTCGATTCCAAAAATTCTTCTTCCAACAAGACAATGACCCAAAACATTCATCATATTTGGTACAAGAGTGGCTGATATATCACTGCAAGCAGCTTAAATCTCCACCCCAATCACCAGATTTAAATCCCATAGAGCATATATGGGAATTGCTTGAGAGGAGGATACGGAAGCACAATATAACATCCAAGGAATCCTTGAAAGCCGCATTAGTTTCTGAGTGGCAAAAAATTTAACCAAGAGAGACCAATAATTTGGTGAAGAGCATGCACCGGCGCTTACTAGCCGTTATTAAGGCCAAAGGCGGGCCTACAAAATATTAAAATTTAAATAAGATGTAAATTTAAGAAAAATAATTTGAAAACAATTAAGTGTACGAATAATTTATGGACGTAAAAACCTGCCTTATTTTGATTAGATTAAGTTTTTTCCATTACCGATTATGAAATTGTTTGTTATTGTTTTTAAAATATAAAATATAAATATTAAGTGTTCATTTGAAATTAAAAATTGTTGTGTATTATAAATAACAGCGAAGATATAGGCCTTTAAAGTCAAAAGTAAAGAGTGTACGAATAATTGTTGGTTTCACTGTATATACTTTGTGGGGTCTGCCACGCCTCCTTCTGCCTGTTACATTTTTCAGCTCCCGCAAACCTAATATACTCTTGTACATTTCATGTACAGAGTATAAAAATTCTTTGCATTTGATTTTCGTCATTGCTATTGCCACCAATACATATGGCATCGATATTGTGGTACTGGGCAAAACGCTGTCTTCCGGAAATTTTAATTCGCCAAAGTAAAAAACATCGAACATCGGAAATAAAACATCGATGTTTAAACAAATTTTCGGCTAAAGAAAATATGTAAGCCTTGAATTCGTCTTTCACTATGAAAGCCTGTCAGCTTGCTCGCAACGCAAGCAATTCGGCTTCAGCTTCGTTTCAGCGCACACTATGTATGTACATATGTATGTATGTACCCTAAAGCGCACATGCTCACGCAATGATGTAAATGTTCCAAATAAATATTATTCCTTCCTTGAACGAAAATTTTTTATTACAATTTCTTCTTTTTTTAATTTTATAAATTTGTTTAACTATTCTAGGCATACATAGGTACAGGGTATTTCAAAGCCGGGGCTTTTGAAGTTGTTTTGTAAGTGTATTAGCGAGCAAATCCCTGTATACCTAATTCTGTTTTTACACGGTACGTTGGTTTCTAAAAAAGTCGTGTACAAAAAAGCCGTGTACAAACAGACATTGATCATATGCAAAATGAATTGTGCTAAATGGAATAAAGTCGTGTAACCATATACATATGTATGTATAAAATTTTCAGTTTTCAAACCGTGTTAAACCAAAACTGTCTAAAACAAGACCGTGTAAAAACAGAATTAGGTGTACTTGTAATAACTCTCCGTTCGCTCGTGAAATCTTTTTGTAGCCAGGCTTTAAATTCTTAACTTTTTAGCAAAGCACTCCGGCACTTTTCTTGTTATTCATTTTGCTTGATTTTATTCTCAAATTTACAAATTACATTAGGATAATGATGTTAGTTTTATTTAAACTAGTGGTGGGATTGGCAAATATCGATAACAAAAAATAATGATAAGGATGCCACATTTCCACATTTTAAACAAGAATTACCGCTGCCAGCAATTTTTAGTTTTCCCGCAATTGCATATACAAAACAGCTAGATTTGACGGGAAAAATTCAAACTGGCATCACTAGTTGTGCATTGTGACTTTAACTGCTGCCTCGTGTAAGATTGTTGCTATTTGGTGTTGCTGAGCGGTTAAAATGATATTAAATGTTTGATCGTGTTTACTCGTACGTATTTTTTGTGTATTTTTGAATCAACACATGGCTTGATTAGTGCTTATTGTAAAAAACTAAAATGTTACACTCTTTAATCGAACAGGAGCGCCAAAAGTTAATCGTATCTATGTATTTGCGATAACAACAACCTTGCCAGATATGTAAAGACAGTTGTTACAGTGCTGCCACCATCAGCTTTTTAGCAGTGATACCACCACAGCTGTTGTCATCAGTCAGCTGTTGAGGAGTGTTGCCATATCAACCGCCGCCATGTTTGTGGCAACTGTCAAACTGACGTTGAGTTTCTACGCCTCTCTTTCGCTCTTTCTTCTTCGAGCGTTCGCCTTACAAGATGGTGCGTTAACAATTAATTTGAGTACAAGCATAAACGAAATCAATAAATTTTTGTGCCATCCGTGCGAATTTTAAATTATAAATTTAATTATTTAAACGAGAAAATTCACATGAATTTATTGCAATGTTACTATTCGGCCTAATACATGCTGCAATTTATTTTCACGCGGCAGAACTTAGGCAGCAAGAATAGTTTAATGACATCGCGACATACATAGTGCAAACAACAAAAATATAGTGATTCTAACATAATTATGTTTACAGACGAAGGGTACCTCGAGCTTTGGTAAACGTCATAATAAGACGCACACGCTGTGCCGTCGTTGTGGACGCTCCTCTTACCACATTCAGAAGTCAACATGCGCCCAGTGCGGCTATCCAGCTGCCAAGTTGCGTTCATGTAAGTTATCGACGATACAAATTTCATGCTCTTTATGCAGCAATTTCTGAATCATCCACTTTTGTATTTGCTTGCAGACAACTGGTCTGTGAAAGCCAAGAGGAGGAAGACCACTGGCACCGGCCGCATGCGTTACCTGAAGGTTGTGCGCCGCCGTTTCCGCAACGGCTTCCGTGAGGGCACCCAAGCCAAACCCAAGAAAACGGTTCAGGCTGGCAAATAAAACGCTGCTTAAAACTGGATCCACAACAGCCCACAACACATGAAATCATAGCTTAACCCCATGTTTTAAAGCTTCGACTTTCTAAAACTTCTGCAGTGGGCGGGAGCCAATAAATTACATTTTTTTTGAATAAGTGAAGTTTGGTTGTGCTTTTTTAAATTATGTTTAGCAAATTGACGCTGTGAACGAATTGCAAAGTTAGAGGCCACAACAAACTATTAGTGCTCGACCAATGTGTCGATTTTGTTACATTTTTTTTCTTCATTTTTTTTTCTTGTGAAAACCAATTTTCGTAACAATGCACGTGGGTCATTACATCAAGTATGTATTTATGTTGTGTCCTAATAAATAAACTCTGTGAAAACGCCGGAATCTAAGTATGAGCAAAAACGAACAAGCGGGACAAATATATGGTTATACTTTGTACCTAAAAGGTGCAAGGGTATATTAAGTTTGTGCAAAGTGAGAAATGTAAAAGGCAGAAGAAGGCGTGACTAACACCATAACATGGGTATTATTGATTAGCGTGAGTAGATTAATCCCTGCCTGTTTGTATGAACCTAGATCTCTTTATAGCAGCTAGAGACATCAAAGTTGCCGCACATATGGCTTAAAAGTGTACGTACGGACAAGTGTATTTTCCTCATTCCCCTCTTTCCTTGCTGTTAGCGATTTTCATCACAACACACAAATTTGGCAATTGCATCAAGTTATTACTTCTGTGTACATACTTACTATGTCAAGAGTAAGTCTTTATACTCAAATGTTGCATTGAATAGTTTTTATTCAATTAATTGAAACTAAATTTTAAAAATATTTTGTAACTTCAGTGTTGTAGGAACGTTTACTGGGTATTTGAGAGTTAGGCCCGCTCAAATGTAGCATTCCTTTCATCTTGCTATTACGTTGTTCATTACTACAGTAGTTCTTTGCATTTAGTACACACAACAATACATGAGGTTAGAGCGTACTTGTTTGGCTATAACTTCCTGTTTAATCGGCCTATTATTATGAAATTTGGCATACAGACTCATCACCAATTGTAAACATTTACCTTCGAAGTTCGAACAATTACGAGAGTTATGGGAAATCGCTAATTACGGTGAAGAGAGGGAGGGAGGAATATTACAAAATACACATTTTCTGCATATTTATGTACATATGTAAGACTAAAATTTGTGTCCCTAGATTTTAAAGTCTCAGAGATCCAGGTGTTCATACGGACAGACAGACATAGATCGACTCGTCTAGTCATGCTGATCAACGATATATATATATATATACTTTGTAGGGTCTGCCACGCCTCCTTCTGCCTGTTACAGTTTTCAGTTCGCGCAAACCTAATATTCTCTTGTACATTTCATGTACAGAGTATACAAATTTAAAGATAAAATCAAGTTGGGACTAGGAGAGTCTACATAACAAATTTTGTTAATGTACGCTCAGCCGTTTCCGAAATACAAGCCTTCATCCAGACAGACGGACGGGTTTCAATCGATTTTCCTCGGCATACTGGTTATGAATATACAAATATATCGGAAATGCTTCTTCCTGTCTGTTATACACTTTGCACAAACCGAATAACCAAGTTAAAGCCATAAGTGTATGTAATCTCTGCCCGCAGCTGTTGTTGCTGCTGCTTAGCACAGACACAAGAGACCCATACAAACACGCATAGACTCACATTTTGTGAGAGTGGGTACAGGGTATTTAAGAATGGAGCCCTCTTGACTCTAGCATTCCTTTCTCGTTATTATTTGTTAGTAATAGCTAATTTCGTTAGTGATTCGCTAATATTCCGCTTTGATAACGCCGCTCACAATTGTGTTGCAGTTAAAATCTTTTAGTCATATTTGCTATACATATTTGCTGAGCCAAATTGTCTATTGTTGCTGCTTGAACAGGATGAGAATGGGGATACGAAGGTAAAGTTGTGAAGTTCCCTCTTGAGAGGAAAATAATTGTAGCCACAAATTTTATCGCGCAATCGAAGCATTGTAATAAAATAGCATATAATCTGTGAGACGCGAAATCTAAAAATTTGAAGATTAGCTTAATCAACATTTTATTTTTATATACAGTGCCGTAAGTACTAAGCAATTATAGGTACGTATACATATAACAAAAGAACTCATTCGACCTGACTTAAAGTAACGGAACACAAGTGTCCGCTTCGAAGTCGGACCTAATGAGCAGCAATAAGCAACATACAAATGCGTATGTATGTATATGCAAAAAGCAATAATTGGTATTATATATGACTCGTGAAAAGCACTCATTTCACATATATTTATGTATGTATACCTAATATATACATATGTATATATTAAGGAAACGAGTTAAGCTCCAACTCTAAAGGCATGTGACAGGAGGAATGCGACAGGACTCGCGTTAGTCTAGTAAATTAAATAAATTGCCACTAAATGCTACGAGATAATATACGACATGTTAAACTAATCGGCGTGCGCGTGCTGGGCAGTACCATTTGGCGTGGTTGTCTCAGTTGTCCTCTGTGCCGCTGATGCTTTGTCTCGAGTTTTAGATGTACCTTTCATCAGCAGCTTCTTCAAATTCTGGAAGGGCGCATCGAAGAGCACTGTCAGCGCCACGGAGGCCAGGAAGATCGATATGAATTCGTTGGTATCCAGCTGCATAAATGAAACAATTATTAAATACGAAGCAGAGATGTGGGGTGTGGTATTTTAACCGTAACATGTATATTATAAGTATATATGTATATTAAACTTTCTTTTGCGCGTTTAAATCATGCGCTTTGCGTATTCTTTAAAGTCTTCTCCACGACATGTCCGTCTGTATGAACGCAAGGATCTCAGAAAGTATAAGGCCTAGAATAACCAAACTTGGTATCAAGATTCTCATAAATCCGTGAAAGGACGAGTGTTTTTTTCGCATTCACTCCCCCGCTATTCGCGATTTCCCATTACTTCCGTTATTCTTGGAATTTTGAACTTAAATTTGGCAATTACATCCAGTTAGTGATTATGTGTATAAGTGATTATTCTGAAAAATACCACACCGTGCACCGTTACTAATTTAGATTGTATCTACTAACAATTATCGAAACGAAGTTGTAGTAGTGATGAACGTGGCGTCGTCGACCCACATTGAAAAAGAAGACGGGGAACTGCGTCAGGTAAATGGCATACGAGAGCTTTGTGGATACTTGGAAGCCGCGCCAGGCAAACAGTCTCGTAAATTTGTCTGTAAAGCCAAGGTTATTAATTCATTTTAAAAGTGCTAATGAGCGACTCACTTTTATATCCATTGTGGGAAACGAAGACGATCCATGAGAAGAACAGACACCATGCAATGGGTGCAAAGGCCGCGTATATGGCCGCATGTGTAGAATTATACACATAGTTGATGTCGCCCATAGGAGCTGGTCCTAGCAGAGAGGCAAGCACACAGATCGTAGCCATTAGCCAGCCAAAAAGCAACTGGTTGCGGCTCAGCTTGACGCCCTGATACTTACGCAGGGCGTAGCCCAACAGGATGCCCATAATGTAGACAGTGGAGCGATGTGGTGGAAAGGAGTACATGTAATCGGCAGTACGGAACAGACGCTGAATGCTAAAGTGGCAAATGGTCACATGTGGCAAATAAAGGCACGGGAGATGGGATCGATGTAGATCCTTTACTTACTTTGTGCCGAAATAGATGTAGTTAGACAGCTGGTTGACAATCGTCGTATAATAACGCGCTGCCGTGCCAATCGTGCATAGCAGTAGCAAAGTCAGCAGGCCTTTTCGAGGCCAGCGCCACAGGCCAAGGATAAAAAGTGGCGCCACAGCAAACAACTCTGTGTCAATGCCCAAGTGGTGCGTGTGGGTCAGGCACATCTCACTGAAGCCAAAGTAATTATGGATGAAGAGTAGATTACGCCACCAGTGACGCTTGCAAATGTCTGCATGATGGCCCACCACCAGGTTCCACTGCGGGCCCGAACCCCACAACGGCAACACATAAGTGCAGAAAAGGATAAGTGCCGCCAGCGGCGGTACAATGCTGCAAATCAAAAAACAGAAGGCAGTTAGTATACTAGAGTGTAGTAGCCAGGCAAAAAATTGTTATAAAGTCGACATTATTATGACGCACTATTTCCCATTAAAATGGAACTGAGTTGGATTTGTTTTTTCATTGATCATATGCATACATTATTTTTTAAATGCATCCTGCATTAATTAATCAACATTTTAATTTGGTAAAAGCTGCGTACGCCCTGGATAGGGATATATAGATATATGTATATATATATACATATATACACATATATCACCGCTTAAGGCCAATTGATGATTTGGACACAATCCCATACACCTTACCTATCGTTGGAAAGTTAATAAACTAATTAAATAATCTAAGCAATAAGTTTTTCGATAATAACTTCTTCGACAGAAACTGGGCAACATTTTTATTTTAACAACTTTTCTTTTGTACGAGTATGAAGTTGGCCCACAACCAGCCGAAGCACGTATCAATGACATTTTGTGAGTTACATTGCTACCAGCTGTTATGCAATAGATCAGATGTTGCAAAAATATGTAGGTCATAACTTTCACACTAACTCAGTACGCTGACAATAAACTTATTACTTACCGCATCAGCCTACTGATGTACTCGTCTTTCAGCCGAATGGGTTGGCTTTTCATAAGGCGACCGAAAAGAGAATAGGCTGTCAGCATACCGCTAAAAAGCAGAAAGGGGTCCGTGTAGAGGGAGGCTGCACGCCCAATCACTGTCCAGGGGCGGCCCAGGCTTTCGGACATTTCGGTGCGGTTATTGTACGGGTTGAAAAACATGGCCATAGACTTGTGCGAGAAGATCAGCATCATAGCATTTAAAAATCGAATGCCGTGCACTGCCTCGATGTCGCTGGGGGAGCTACGGGTGCTGAAGAGCCACCGGAGATTCTTGTCCAAGGAGAAGGCCGTGCACCACTCATCTGCAATTACCAAGAATGTCAAATTTGTGGATGATTGGGAGCATGGTGGAGTAAATACTTTGCTGCGCCTGCGTCTTCGTGCAGCGATCGTAGATGGTCGATAATAATGCCATCGAGAGCACCAGAACAAAGAAGCGCACTGCCCAAGTTGTATTTCGATCCCAGGGCTCACTTTTGCGCACCTGACACATTTGCGGCTCGACGCGCACATTAAAGCTGATCCCAGTTGCCGCCGTCTGATTGCGTAAATACTCGGCGACACTATACTCAACGTCCCGGTGTGTGCATCCTGCGGGCACGCAGATGCCCCAGTTGACCAAGGAGTAACGCGGCACACGGTGACCAGGCTGAAGAGGGGGAGAAACATTTGTTGTATTTAGTGACCTTTAACCCATACTCCCTACTGTCAATTCTCTTAAACGAAAGCTGCCTAAAAGCTTTTTCCAATACAATCAATTGACGCACTTCGCTAATAATAACTAAGTTCAATGAACTAGTTATGGAGCAGCTCATCGCTTTAAACAAACGCACGCATACATACACACTATATGTCGATTTGTATTGTATTTGCATATTGTACCCAATTTCACTTCTACACCACGCAACAAGAAAGAAACAAAAAAAAAACAATTTTATTGTTGTGGTCATATTTGTATTCGGAGATTTTGAAAACTAAAACCCCATAAAAGCTGGTTAAAAAGAATTGAATTGTGCAGTTCAGAAAAAGTTTAGACACCTATTTATACTCTGTACATGAAATGTACAGAAGTATATTAGGTTTGCGGGAGCTGAAAAATGTAACAGGCAGAAGGAGGCGTGGCAGACCCCACAAAGTATGTATATTCTTGATCAGCATGACGAGACGAGTCGATCTAGCCCTGTCTGTCCGTCCGTATGAACACCTGGATCTCAGAGACTATAAGAGATAGAGACACCAAATTTTGCACAAAGATGCCTTTTGTGTTTACGCTATACGAGTTTGTTTTATATTTTTGATTTTCCCCCCACTTCCCCCCTATGGGGGTTTTCACGATTTTCCATTCGTATAATCGCCTATATTTCTGAGACTATAAGACCTAGGGACACCAAATTTTAGTCCAAGATGCCTTATATGAATACGCAGAAAATGTGTATTTTGAAATTTCCCTGCCTCCCCCCTCTCCCATGCAAATCGATACTCCCGTAATTTTTGGAATTTCGAACTCAAACTTGGTAAATACCACCAGATAGTGATTATAAGACCAAATGCCAAGTGTCATAATGATAGGCCGATTTAACAGGTAGTTATAGCCATATATGTACTTGAGACCAAGCAGTGCCCGCAGCTGTTGTTGTTTTTTTCTGTTTATTCAAAGCATTGAAGCCGTGCACACGAGACATACACAGACACACACATACATAATTACATAATTATTCTACACATATGTACAGAGTATTTCAAAGACGGGATACCCGACTTTAACTTCTCTACTTCTTTTATTTTAACATTGTAATAAATTATGAAAATAATTTGCTTGCTTGGCAATTGCTTTATTGTTTTCCAACGTTAGAGACAAACTGAAAGCCGTAACACCAAGAGCAAACCCAATTAGCTGGCAGTAGATCTGTCTATGAACAGCCCTTCTGGCCGTCTACAAATTTTTACCAATTCTTGTGATTTCACCTTTTCGATAAATCCTACTTTAATAACAAAAACGGTTAACTAATTTCTTCTCCGACTATCACTTTTCTAAAGACGATAATGGTGTTCTCGCGAACAATGCCAAGAATGTGGAGAGAATATTCAAAAATATGCATACGTTTGGGGTTTCCAGCACTTCTGATATACTTATAACATATACTTGTATAATTAATATATATGCAGTTCTTTATCAAAGTCTTCATGAAAAGGGTAAACATATTTTTTTTAACAAATATCCAAACAAGTAAAAATATCTTTGTTTTTCTTAATCTGAGCCATTACCGCAAAATGTATGACAATATAATTTATATGCCGTGCTTAATTGAAAGCAAACAACTTCGGACACCGAGCCTTATATACCTTTGAAAATGTATCTTTATATTAATAAATAATAAATACATAATTTGCAACATCTTTCATAATGACAGCAAACTTTCCATAAAACTACGAAAACCAGCAAAACTTTAAAACCTGATTGACGGCAATTTTAAGATTCAGTAATCCAATCCAGTAGGTTTTGTCAAATGATCTGCTTGCAGGGATCAGATTCCCATGTGAAAATATAAGCACTGAGAGACAAGTGTGAGAGAGAAGCATACGACAAACAGACAGACAGACAGACATTCTAATCATTTATGTCAATACTATACTATGCATGCATACATATGCGCCCTAGAAAAACATGAGGGATGCCACGCCTTCTTCTGGTCGCTACAAGCATTAGAGGACAATTAACTGTCCTTGCAGATCACAGTAGATAAGAGTCGGTATAAATGTATGGTCTAACAAGCTGACAACGACTTAGTCCATTCCAGCTTTAATATTAAGCTGTATAGTGTAATCGGAGAAACTAAATTTTTTCACCGTCTCGTTTTACTCACATTCTTCGTCAAGTTCAATGTCGAGAGGTGTGTGTATTTTGAATATATGGCGAGTGGTTTTTTCACAGTTGCTCGCTAAACTGTGTTCGTAAACACATACTCGTATATACATACATACATTGATATGACTATATTTTGGACACAGTTATGTGTTATTGTATGTATGCTATGTACTCGTATATAGATAAATGTACATATGTACATATAAATTGGCGCCGAGACTTACAACGCAACGTTCCCATATAAATTAATTGAAATAATTGAAGATGTTCTAAAGTCGAGACTGAGGCGGTTCCCACGCCGACCCCCACACCGGCCCAACCCAACCCCACCCCACACTCCCCCTTCTCTACCCTGCTGTGTAAATTTATGTATGCATGAATGTATGATTGGATTTAACATATGAATGCAATGGCAAAACAAAAGACTTGGGCAACGAACTTGAACATACATATGTATGTACATATGTATATATGTATGTATATTTAATACTCACATCGTTGAATTCACTCTTGAACGGACCATGCGATTGCATTAGTTTGAAGAAGGCCTGTAATCGCTTGGACTTGTGTGGCAGCACAGGTTGCGCATAGGCCAAGCAATACTGGCCGCGCATGGTCAGTTCATGCTGCTGCTGCTGCTGCTGCTGCTCCTCCCTCTCCTCATCGTTGTCCCGAACGCTACTAGAAGATATACGTAGCCGCTGTTGAATGCCCAAGCACTGATCAAAGTCGCCCGGCTGATTAATGTTGCCATTCAGAATGCCCGAGTTCAATTTGCCGCTAGCATCGTGCACTGCAACAGAGGAAGGGGTTGATATTTAAATCTACATTGTATGTATAGTACATGTATGTAAGTATTTATTTATGTATGTATGTGTGCATGGTTATAAAACTGTTGCCGTTTAGCTTGAATGCCACGCCAACTGGGAATAAAGCGTGTGTACAATGCAATTGTCAATTGAATAAATGCTATGACCTTGACCGTGATTTCGCACACTTGCCGGTGGTGCGGCGGCACAGTCGTGTGCCAGCTTGTTTTTACGTTTCTTATACTTTATGGCCAGAATGGATAGGAGAGCTTCTTGAATTTGCCAAGCCGTATGGAGCAGACGCCACCAAAAAATGGTATACGCTCTTAAATGTTCAAAAAAGTCCCATAATTTGAAAATAATATAACAGTTTTGTTAAATTGTATACAAACTAGGAAGTACATATGAATGGACACACATGTATACATATGTATGTATGTATGTGTCGTGTTTTTGCGCGCAAATGCTTTTTATTCGAATATTCCTTTTTTTGCTGGAAATCAAGCGATGTCAGAGTCGATAGTATAATTTTTGAGAAGTAGTACTAACTAGTACTGATTTAACTGTTTAAATCCAAACAAGTCAACATAACTACAAATAGAGTGTACCAACTTGTCGACTTTCCGTGTATTCACTTGCAATTTCGTTCTTGTTCTGAACGTTCAGCAGCCGGTGCGCGATTCACGGGCACCCACTTGGCCAACTGGCCAGCTGGCCAGGCCGTCCAGCCGCTCATTTCATGTCAAGCTCGCACAACACTTGACGTTCTCATTGGTGCTGTCGTTGTTTTTATTTTTATAAATCTGTTGTAGTGGCGTCTGCGAAATGCTGCAGTAGGCAAAATTTGCTCGAAGCTTTTGGCATTGTAACTGTTGCTACTGCCATAGTTTCTGCTGTTGCTGTTGCTGCCACTAGCGCTACTGATACTAGCAAGGCGAATGTGGGTAAAGTTCGACGCGTGGCCTTCACTTTAGCCGCATGAAATATGTATGTATGTATGTATAGTATATACTAAATAGGCAGTACTATACTATACGTATGCATTTATTGAGAACTTGCTCATGCAATGCCTTTGACTCTGCACTCAACTTTTGCAATTGATTTCGGTTTGTCTGGCGGTCACGCTGCGGCTTGCCTCTGTCAACAGCAGCAACATTACAGCAACAACAATGCCAGCATGTTTGTTGGCAATGACTCAGATTTGTTACTGCTTCTGCAGCTGATCGAACAAGCAGAACTAGAATACACGTACATGTGATCACAGAGGCCCGCGAAGCGTTCTAAGCGTTCTTATCAGCAACAACAACACTTAATGCATAGTATGTATTGGACCGAGTGCAAGTGTTTTGATTGGCTGGCATGCGTAGGCTAAGTGTAGTGTTTTATGAGCCTAAAGCAAGCAAACAGGGGCAGTTGGTCAACAGCTCGCTGTACTCGCTGCACTTATTGCACATGAATATTTAGTTGTCATTTTGCCTGCTTTTTGTTACTTTGCTTTGTTTCGTTTTTTAGTATGGTACTGTGGTACTACAGTCATCGACATAAAAAATATAACTTAAATTACTGGGTGTATGAGTAACGCGTCATTAACCACAGATTCGACAACGACGGCAATGAAGATGTTAAAGACGGAGAGAGGGGCGGGGCGCAGACACACGTAAACGCCATGACTATGAAGACTACGAAGACACACCTTACTGTTAGCAATGAAGAGTCTTACTTAGTACTTACTTTTTAATGCCCACAAATCAAAATTGTTCAGTGCATCCATATAGATGCGCATTTGGGCTCGACACAGGTCAGAGGCTTCGGGATTTCGTGACGCATCGAACGGTTGAGATATTGCCAGAAAGCGTTGGCCTATGTTGTACAAATAAGCTGCAAGAAGAAAAAAAATTTCATATAAATAATTTACAAATCACAACAAGGGAGATCGCTACAGTCGAACAAGGCCGACAGTAAAATATCCTGTACCCAGACAAACTTCCGGCACAGAATTACATGCGCCTATAACAGAAGAAACAAGAAAGGAATGCTGAAGTCGAGCAGGCTCAACTCTTAAATACCCTGTACCACCCCACAAAAAAAGAAATTAAATTAATTAATTAATTTAATAAAATATTCCATACATGCATACATACATTTACATTTACATCAAAATCGTGTCTATGCGTGTTTGTGTACTTGTACATATGTATGTATGTGTGCACTGGGCCTGGTTATATGGCTATAGCTTTCTTTCTGATCAACCTATCATAATGAAATTTGGTATACGGATATATAGTCGTTAACTTACCAAACTACTGACTACCAAATTTTAATTCAAATTCCAAGAATTACGGGAGTTATAGAAAATCTTGAATAGGGATAAGTGGGGGGGGGGGGGGGGGTGGATCAGAAAAAATGAACAAACTCGTCCTTTCTTGGTCTCAGGAGAATCTGTATACCAAGTTTGGTTATTCGATCTCTTATACGTTCTGAGATCCTTGCATTCATACAGACAGACAGATAGACGGTCAGACGGACAGACGGACATGGCTATATCGACTCGGCTTGTCATGCTGATCAAGGATATACTTGTACATACTTTGTGGGGTCTACCTCCTCCTTCTGTGTGTTCCATGTACACTCGCACAAAACTTATATACCCTTGTACAGAGTATAAAAATGTTTGATCATTTTACCCTAACATACGAATATGTGTCTATGCATGTTTGTGTTTGTTTCGTGTGCCTATGCAAAGCAGCTACAACAACAACAGCTGTGGGCAATGCTTGGGCAAGATAACACACATACAACTATATGGCTATAGTGGCTATATGGCTACCACAATGAAACCGAATAATGAATGAAGCCGGACTCAAAATAGCCAACTGGAAGGATTTTCCAAATGTCAATGAAAAATTCCAAAAAATACGGGAGTTATGAACAATTAGTGATCGCGTGGGAGAGGGGGAAGAGAGGGATATTCCAAAATACACAAATACAGCTGTGTCACGCAAAACGGATAAGGCAGCAGGAATAGAATGAAAGAGATCGCGCACATTTCGCCTTCAAAAATATTCTTGTATACACACAAGCACAGCACATATGCCTGCATATCGGGTCGTAGAACTCTCAGCTTCTGCCGGCAGCGACCCACGGCGAACCATGGCCATGGCCGAACCTTGGTGTCTATTTTGATAGGCGGCTTACTTGGCTTAAGCACATCGAAGCGAAGAGAAATCTATTGAAATTTAAAGCTAGTAATCTACATTGGCTTATAAACGTCCGTTCACCATTAAACATGGAATGCAAATTACTCTTTTTTAATGCAATTCTCAAACCCATTTTGACATATTTAATAATTAATACTTAATAATTTAGAAGTAATCCAGAGAGCTCAATTGAAGGTACTGAGAACTATCACTGTAGGGACACCATGGTACATGAGGAATGAAAATATTCATAAAGACTTAAATGTAGGCTCTGTTAAAGATGAAATCGGCAAGGTAAAAACAAGTCTCTTTCTAACGTGCGCAGTACTTAACTTGGCTATTAGCCATACACGACTCCGGCGAAGAGACATCCCCAACCAGTAATAACAGTTAGGGCCGTATTTTAAATAATTCATTGTAATTAATTAAATAAATATAGAATATTAGATTATGATTTGCATACTTGTCGTTAGTATCTAAACGAGAAGATTCAATAAATAAAAACTACCGTACAAAATTAAATTACATTTTTATACACTGTACCCAAAGGGTAAAAAGGGTATATTAGGTTTGTGCCAAGTATGTAACATGCAGAAGGAAGCATCTCCAACCCAATAAAGTACATACAAGGTAAATTCCAAAGTAAAACGGACTTTTTGAATCTAGCACCCCCTGGTGGCGCTATCTATATGTCTGGTACGTTAGAATCTGCAATCTTTATCAATTGTCCAGTGAGAATTTCATGGCATTTCATCGATTGGAAGTGAAGTTATTGCGTTTTAAGTGTCAGTATGTTTGTGTTATCGGTGCGAAAATGATCTTGAGCCAATATTAAATTTTGTTTTAAAATTGGTAAAACTTTTACCGAAACATTTCAATTGATGGAACAAGTTTATGGCGATGATTGCCTATCCTGTTGCAGAGTGCAAGAGTGGTTTCAACGTTTTCAAAGTGGTCGTGAGGACATAAATGACGATCAACATGTGGGCCAATCAAAATTCGTGAGCACCGAAAATTCCATCGAAACTCTGCGTGAATTCATCAAAAATCAGCCGAAATCATCATTGAAATTGATGGAAATGGAATTGAACATCTCCAAAACATCGATTTACTCGCCGTATTCACCTGATATGGCACCGTGCGACTTCTACCTTTTCAAAAGGCTTGCACCGGCATACTGGCGGCCATACCGGCCAACGAGCTAAAACACTCGTTCGACATGCTTTTGGATCGTGCTAAAAGCTGTATTGAAGCAGAAGGAGACTATTTTGAATAAAATAAATTGATTTTGCCGAAAAAAACCACACAGAAGGAGGCGTGGCAGACCCCACAAAGTATATATATTCTTGATCAGGATGAGAAGACGAGTCGATATACCCATGTCCGTCTGTCCGTCTGTCTGTATGAGCGCAAGGATCTCAGTAAGTACAAGAGCTAGGATAACCCAAATTGGTATCAAGGTTCCTATAAGCCCTAGGCAGAACGAGTTTGTTTATTTTTTCTGATACACCCCCCACTCCCCCGCAATTCGTATTTTTTCTTATAACTTCCGTAATTCTCGGAATTGTAAAATCAATTTTGGTAGGTACATCCAGTTAGTACTAATGTGTCCGTGTGCCAAATTTCATCATGATAGGTCAATTCTGAAGAAAGTTATAGCCATAAGTAAAATCGCTGCTCATGCGCTGCCTGCAGCTCTGTCGGCAGCGCTGCCCGCAGCTGTTGCTGTTCTTGCTGCTTTGGTTCAACATTGTGCTGCATACATACACGCATATAAACACGCATAGGCACGTGATGTAAATGTATGCTGTTTAAACTGAACATAAACATGTATTCTAATTTAATTTAATTAATTCAATATATAGTAATTGCATTTTTTTTTAATTTTCCTTTTTTGTGGAGAGTACAGGCTATTTTACTGTCGGGCTTGCTCGACTGTAGCGTTATCTTCATAATGAAGGAATGGGGCTTGAAATTCGAATGAGCGCGTGGCCCGCCCCAAGCCGAGACGCCAACGCAACGCCAACGCCAACGCCAAATAGTCTGAACTGTATATGGCAAACCACAAACATCAGCATGCAGTCCGCGATCAGTTCAGTTTTAGCTGCTGCTGTTGTGGTGTTGTTCCTTTGTTATTATAATCACAGCACGGTTGATCGGGCCTTGTTTTTTATGCTAAGTGAATTTTCAAGTTGCTAATTTTCCTTTTGTTTGCAATTAAGAATTCTGAACACGACTCGGTGTGCTTCGTTGCCTGCATCCGTCTAGAGACTGGAACTGAGACTACCAAAGATGTTGGTGATGGGAATGGGTGGACTTATGTACGATACATTCAAAAGTATGTACGTGTATATATGTACTATATATACATATGTATACAAATATTTGCGTGCGAATGTATGCTACTTGCATACATACTACGACTGCGGAGATCGCAAATGGACAAGGAAGAATTTAGATTCAAAATTCTCATATCAAACTTAACATTGTCGGGCAGCTAACGTTTCGCAATTATAAATTGCTATCACCGTCCGCTCATCGCTTTAATTAGGCACAATCGTCGTGCGATTTATATATGCATGATGTATATAAGTATGTTGTTTTCGGGCATTCCATAGAATCATTCATTATTACCATTATTCGATTGCTTTGTCGTAGTTTAACAGCGCATCGCGCTCGCTTTTCCCGGCAAGCATTGGGAAGATACATATGTATATTTGTATTTTGTTTATTTATAAACCCTGTACCCAAAGGGTGAAAGGGTATATTAGTTTTGTGCGAGGCGAACAATGTAACAGGCAGAAGGAGGCGTGGCAGACCTCATAAAGTATATATATTCTTGATCAGGATGACAAGACAAGTCGATATAGCTATGTCCGTCTGTCCGTCTGTCTGTATGAGCGCAACGATCTCAGCAAGCACAATACAAGTAGCTAGGATAACCAAACTTGGCATTCAATTTCCCCTAAGCCCAAGGCAGATCGAGTTTATATTTTTTTCTGATACACCCCCACCCACAGCGCTGCCCGCATCTGTTGTTGTTGTTCTTGCTGCTTTGGTTCAACTTTGTGCTGCATACATACATGCATATAAACACGCATAGGCACGTGATGTAAATGTATGCTGTTAAAGTTTTTTTATACCCTGTACCCGTAGGGTAAAAAGGGTATATTAGGTTTGTCCAAAGTATGTAACATGCAGAAGGAAGCATCTCCGACCCCATAAAGTATATATATTCTGAATCAGCATGACGAGAGAAATCGATCTAGACATGTCCGTCCGTCCGTCTGCCCGTTCGTCTGGATGAACGCAAGGATCTCAGAAACTATAAAAGCTAGAATAACCAAAGTTGGCATCCAGATTTTCCTAGGTCCGAGAAAGGACAAGTTTATTTTATTTTTTGGAATTTTCCCCCCCTTCCCCCGCTACAGAATTTCGTCAATAGCGTCCACATTTCAAATGCTACCTAAACCAAACTTTGCACACATAATTTATTTATAATTATCTACTGTTGTTTATTCAATTTGGTCAATTCTAAGAAAAGTAATTAGTGAAACAAATTCTCGCCAGTACAACCCCCCCAAACTGCAGCAACAAGTCCGCTCTTCTTCTTCCTCTTTTTGCTGCTGCTATGGGCGCATATAACTCAGTGACGGCAGTTTACCTGGGTACAGGGTATTA